CTGTAAAACACTGTGCAACATTGTACAGCACTGTGTAACATTGTACAACACTGTGCAACATTGTACAGCACTGTGTAACATTGTACAACACTGTGCAACATTGTACAGCACTGTGTAACATTGTACAACACTGTGCAACATTGTGAAGTTGAAACAAACTCTTTATCTGCTGCTGTGGGATGACTTGTGCTTTAAATTACCCTTCATGTACACGCGTGCTCGATAGAATTCCCTGTTCTTTAGCGGCGGATGATTAGTTTTTCCCATCTCTGCTACACCTCACGTATTTGCTAAAGTTTCGCTGCTACTGCCGTCTTCACTTTTGTGTATCATACTAAGCATAGTGAACCGAGTGGACCAATGCATCGCTTACGCCGAGTTTTACGGAATTACGGTTAGGGGTTAAGTAAGGACTACCTAACCTTACCCCGTAACTAAAATCCTGACCTAGGCCCTCTACCATGGTATGGCCCTACCCTAGGCCCTCCTCATCCTCCTCGCCATCCTCTTCATCCTCTTTCACATCCTCCTCCTCCTCATCATCCTCTTCTTCTTTCCTCCTTTTCCTCTTCCTTCTCACATAGCACCTAACCGGTGAATCCTTATCCTCATCCTCATCCTCATCCTTATCCTTATTCTCATCCTCGTCCTCATTCTCATCCTCATTCTCATCCTCATCCTCATTCTCATCCTCATCCTCATTCTTATCCTCATCCTCATTCTCATCCTCATCCTCATCCTTATCCTTATTCTCATCCTCGTCCTCATTCTCATCCTCATTCTCATCCTCATCCTCATTCTTATCCTCGTCCTCATTCTCATCCTCATCCTCATTCTTATCCTCATCCTCATTCTCATCCTCATCCTCATTCTCATCCTCATCCTCATCCTTCTCCGCATCTTCCTACTCGTCTCCTCATTCTCTTCGCACAGCATCGGCTAATCCTAGCATCATCCTTCTCCTCCTTGTCCTCCTCCTCCTCCTTGTCCGCCTCCTCTCTCCTTGTGCAGCATCAGCTAATCTGCGCATCCTCCTCTTCCTCCTCCTCTTCCTCCTCCTCCTTTCTCTTCGCACATCATCAGCTAATCCTAGCATCCTCATCCTCTTCGCGCAGCATCAGCTACCTGCGAAGTCCGGGGCCCCGCGGCGATCGACGTCCGGCACGCAGAACCTGCTGCGGCTGCAGCAGAAGTCCGGCTACAATCCACTCGCCATCGGCGGCATCGGATCGCAGAAGCCCATGCTTTTCGAGAGCCGCACTTGCAAGAACATTATCACGGAAAACTTCGACCATGTGAGTGGACGCGTCGGGAGGTGGNTTCGAGAGCCGCACCTGCAAGAACATTATCACGGAAAACTTCGACCATGTGAGTGGACGCGTCGGGAGGTGGAGGGGTCGGGGGAGGGGTGGGGTCGGGGGAGGGGGAGGGGTAGGGTGGGGACCCACGGTGGAGGGGCGGGGGAGAGGGATCGGATCGCAGAAGCCCATGCTGTTCGAGAGCCGCACGTGCAAGAACATGCTGATAGACAACTAGGGGGACCCGCAAGGGAGAGGCCGGGAACCCACGGGAGAGGGGGTGGGGACCCACGGGAGAGAGGGTGGGGACTTGCAGGGTGGGGAGGGGAACCCATGGCGGATGGGGTGGGGACCCGCAGGGGAGGGGTGGGGACCCGTGGGGGATGGGGAGGGAAACCCGTGGGGGATGGGGTGGGGACCCGCAGGGGAGGGGAACCCCACAAGGGAGGGGGCGGGGAACCCGCGGAGGAGAGGGAAGGTAGCGGGGAACGTGTGTGTGCGTGGGGGGGGTCTAGGGTAGAGGAAGGTACGTAAGATAACGAAGCTTCTATTAGTTATTTCCCTATTAGTGCAAGCCTTGTGTGCGACACGAGAAACTAAAACTGATAGCGACGCGCTCACAACTCGCCACGATCGATCGCAAAACCTTGGTTGCCACGATAAGTAACAACAAGATCTACATCCTAGTTTTTACTCTAGATCACTTTCGTATAAACCTATATGGCATGCGATAACGATGATCTATATCCTAGTTTTTACTCTTTGTGAAACTCGGCGTTTTATCTTCCCGCGAACACCGTCCCCGCAGGTGTGCAACCAGGTGTTGCAGCAGCGCAGCAGCAAGAACCTGTTCGTGCAGCAGATCCTGCTCGTACTGCTGCCCAGGCTCGCTGCCTTCCAGAGCCGTCGCTTCGTCAGCAGGTATGTTGAGCACGTCGGGCGTTCCTGGAGAGAGAGAGACTGTGTTGTTTGTTTGCGGGCGTTGTGTTTGTTTTTTTTGGTTTGCTTGCGGGAGATGTGTCAGTTCTGATCGGGGAGGCTGGGCAGTGGTCGGTTGTTCCATTTGTTCACGTCATTTTGGAGTGTCTCGCTGGATTATTGATTGTCCGATGAATCGATGATGGTACAGATGTTGACTACCTGACAGACAGTGACAGTGCCGTACGGTATGGTGTGCGTGCGTGCGTATGTGTGTGCGTCCATGAGTGTGTGTGTGAGGCGTGCCTGCGGTGCACATGTGCGTGCTTGTATGTGCGTGAGTGGGTGCCTGATGGCGTGTGTGCGTGCGTACATGTGTAAGCGTGTGTGCCTAGGTGCGTGCATGCGTACGCGCGTACGTGCGTACATGCGTGTGTGTGTGACTGCGTGTGTGCGTGCGTACATGCATTGTTGATCGTCTGCTTCAGCTACCTGAGTGTGATGCCGACCTGATGCGCGTGGCGTGGCGTGTGTGCGTGCGTGCGTGGTGTGCGTGCAGTACAGCGGTGTGTGCATCCGGCGTTGCGGGACTGCGTGTGTACGTGGCGTACAGTGCATTGTTGATCGTCTGCTTCAGCTACCTGAGCGAGACGATGCCGTACCTGATGGCGTGCGTGCGTACATGCGTGCGTGCGTGTGTGCGTGCATACATGCGTGTGTGCATGCGTGCGTGCGGGACTGCGTGTGTACGTGCCGTACATGCCATTGTTGATGCGTCTGCTCAGGCTAGCCTGAAGAGCGAGACGTGCCCGTACGCTGATGGCGTCGTGCGTACATCTGCGTGTCGTGTGGTCGTGCAATACATGCGTTGGTGCATGCGTGCGTGGCGGACTGCGTGTGTAACCGCTGCGTACATGGCATTGTTGATCGCTGCTTCAGCTGCTGAGGGCGAGACAGTGCCGTACCTGATGGGTAACGTGCGTACAATGCGTGCGTGCGTGTGTGCGTGCATCACATGCGTGTGTGCATTGCGTGGCGTGCGGACTGCGTTGGTAGCGTGGCCGTAGCATGCATTGTTTGTATCTCTGCTTCGCTACCTGAGCGAAGACGATGCCGTATCCTAGGATGGCCGTACGTGCGTACATGCGTGCGTGCGTGTGGTGCTGCATACAGTGCGTGTGTGGGCCAGCGTGCGTGCGGGACCTGCGTGCTGTACGTGCGTGACATGCATTTTGATCGTCTGCTTGCAGGTCTAACCGTGAGCGAGAGCGATGCGTGACCTGATGGCGTAGCGTGCGTAAGGCGTGGGCGTGTGTGCGTGGGGCATACATGCGTGTGTGCATAGCGTGCGTGCGCGTGACTGCGTGTGTACGTGGCGTAACATTGCATTGTTGACTCGTCTGGCTTGCAGCTACTGAGCGAGACGATGGCCCGTATCGTACCTGATGGCGTGCGTGCGGCGGGAGCGGGAGCGCTACACGGCCTTCCAGGCGATCGGTCTGCTCGCGGTGGCTGTCACCGCCGACGTGCGACCCTACTTACGCAAGATCATGGAGATCATCAAGCAGTCACTGCCCTCCAAGGACACGCCCGTCAAGTAGGTGCAGCGCGGCGCGGCGCGGAGGGAGGGAGGGGTAGTGGGGGAGAGAGAGGGCGGGGGGAAGGAGAATCGCGGCGCGGAGGGAGGAAGGGAGGAACGGAGGGGGGGCAGCGGGGGAGAGAGGGAAGGAGCGAGGGAGGAAGGGGCAGCGGGGGAGAGTGAGAGAAGGAGCGAGGGAGGAAGGGGCAGCGGGGGAGAGTGAGGGAGGAAGGGGCAGCGGGGGAGAGAGGGAGGGAGGTCGTAAGGGGCAGTGGGGGAGAGAGTGGGAGATGGGGAGGGGAGGGAGAAAGGATAGGAAAGAGGGGGAAGGGGAGGTGCACGGAATGCGAGTGAAAGGAAGGAAGGGAGGGGCGGGCGTGCATGCGGGAGGGGGAGAGAGAGGGAGGGACGGCTCATCGGGTGCAAACGGAAGACTGGGAGAGAGGGGCGGTGCACGGGACGCGAGTGAGAGGGAGGGAGGGAGGGTGGAAGCGTGCATCTGAAAACGTCCATTAATCGTTGACCCTACGCGTGAGCTAGACCAGGAGGTTTAAAGTGCGTCTTCTCCTGCTCCTCATCCTCCTCCTCCTCCTCCTCGCAGGAAGAAAGGTGTGCCGGTGGACCCTGCGGTGTTCACGTGTGTGAGCATGCTTGCCAAAGCCGTGGGACCGAAGATTGCGCAGGACGTGAAGGAGCTGCTGGAACCGATGATGACAGTGGGACTCAGGTAATGGGTGTTACTTATATATATATACATACATATGTATATATGTATATATGTGTGTGTGTGTGTATATATATATATATATATATATATATAGTGCTGTGTTGTGTTATGATATATACATATATTATTATATATAATATATATATACATATGTATACATGTTGTGTGTGTATAATATTACATATATATATCATATATATGATACATATGTATATATATAATAGGTATGAACAGGTATGCTGAGCGGCAAATCTCAGATAATATTTGCGTTAATTGAAAAAACGTGATCTACAGGTTTTTTTTTTTCGATCTGTCTTGCTCTCTCTCTCTCTCTACTTTCCCTCCTCCCTCCCTCTTTTCTCTCAAACTCTCTTTTCCCTCCTTCCCTTCCTCCCTCACCCTTCTCATCAAACTCGCTTTCCCTGTCTCCCTTTCTCCTTTCCCGCCTCCTTCCCTCCCTCCCTTCCTCCCTTGCTCGACTCTTTTTCTTTCTCCTCCTTTGCTTAGCTGCTCTCTCTTGCTTCTCTCTCTCTCCTTCGCTGGTCCTTCCAGGCGGTGTCTCTACAGCTGTTGAAACCATGGTGCGCATGTCGGTCTCTCTCTCGTTTCTCGTGTCTTCTCTCACATCTCTCTCTCTCTCCTCCATGTCTCTCTCCTCTCTCTCTCAATCCTTGGTGGTTTTACAACAGCGCCTAACAGGCAGGCTTTGTCGTCTGCTCTTCTCTGTCTCTCTCAATCCTTGGTGGGTTACAGCCCGTCTAACAGGCGCGCTTGTCCGTCTTGCTCTCTCTGTCTCTCTCACTTTCTCTCCTCCATGGTCTCTCTCACTGATCTCTCACCGTCTCTCTCACTCTCTCTCCCTCCATCGCTCTCTCTCTACTCTCTCAATCCTGGCGTGGTTCTACAGCTGTTGAACACGGTGGCAATGTCGTCTGCTCTCTCTATCTCTCGCTACTGCTCTCTCTCACTTTCTTCCCTCCATGTCTACTCCTCACTGTCTCTCACTGTCTCTCTCACTCTCTCTCCCTCCATGTCTCTCTCTCTCTCTCAATCCTTTGGTGGTTCTACAGCCGTCTAAACAGGTGGCATGTCGTCTGCTCTCTCTGTCTCTCTCACCGTCTCTCACTTCTGCTCTCTTCACGTTGCTCTTCCCTCCACTGTCTCTTCACTGTCTCTCACTGTCTCTTCACTGTCTCTCTCACTTTCTCTCCTCCATGTCTCTCTTCTCTCTCTCCTCAATCCTTGGTGGGTTCTACAGCAACCGTCTAACAGGTTGGCATGTCGGCTGCCTCTCTCTGTCTCTCTCTCACGAGTCTCTCGTCACTTTCTCTCCCTCCATTGTTTCTCTCACTGTCTCTCACTGTCTCCTCTCACTTTCTCTGCCCTCCATGTCTCTCTCGCTCTCTTTCAATCCTTGGTTGCGTTCTACAGCCAGTTCTAACAGGACGGCTTGGTCGTCTGCCTCTCTCATGTCTCTCTCACTGTCTCTCACTGTCTTCTCTCACTTCTCTCTCCCTCCATGTCTCTCTCACATGTCTCTCACTGATCTCTCTGCACCTTTTCTCTCCCTCCATTGATCTCTCTCTCTCTCTCAATCCTATGGTGTTCTACAGCCGTATCTACAGGCGGCTTGTCCGTCTGCCTCTCTCGTCTCTCTCACTGTTCTCTCTCTCTCTCTCTCTCTCTCTCTCTCTTTCTCTCTATCCGCTTCCACCTTTCTCTCTTCTCTCTCTCTCTCTCTCTCTCTCTCTCTCTCTCTCTCTCTCTCTCTCTCTCTCGTCTCGCTCTCTCTTCTCTCGTCTCCTCTCTCTCCTCTCTCTTCTCTCTCTCTCGTCGCGCTCTGACTCTCTCTCTCGTCTGCTCAGCTCACTCTCTCTTCTCTCTCTTCTCTCTCGGCTCGCTCTCCACGCTCTCTCTCTCTCTCTCTCTCTCTCTCTCTTCTCTGTTTCTCTCTCTCTCTCTCGCTCTCTCGGTCTTCTCTCTCGCTCACTTCTTTCACATCTCTCTCTCTCTCTCTCTCTCTCTCTCTCTCTCTCTCTCTCTCTCTCTCTTCCTCTCTCGCTCTCTTCTCTCTCGCTGTCTCTCTTCGCTCTCTCTCTCACTCTCTCACTCACTCCCTCTCTCGTGCTCTCTTCTCTCTCCTCTCTTCTCTCTCTCTCTCTCTCTCTCTCACTCTCTCTCTCTCTCTCTGCCTCGCACTCTCTCTCTCTCTCTGCCTCGCACTCTCTCTCTCTCTCTCTCCTCTCTCTCTCTCTCTCCTCTCTCTCGCTCTCTCTCTCTCTCCCTCTCTCCCTCTCCCTCTCCGCTTCCCTCTCCCTCTCCCTCATCTCGCTCTCTCTCATCTCTTCTCACTCACTCACTCTCTCTTATCTCTCTCTCTCTCTCCTCTCTTCTCTCTTTCTCTCTCTCTCTCTCTTCTCCCTCTCTCGCTCTCTCGCTCTCTCACTCACTTTCTTGAACTAGCGCGGGAGATCCCCGACCTGAAGCGCTTCATACAGGACGGTCTGCTGCGCATGCTCTCCCTCATACTCATGCACAAGCCGCTCACGCACCCGGGCATGCCGAAGACAGCGACGCCGCAGCTGCCCCCGTCCGGTACTGCTCGTCCGTGCGTCGTCCTGCGTGTGCGTTGTGTGTGCGCGCGGGGAGCGGGGGCTGGGGTAGACCCCCCCCTCCCTACTTACGCGTGCGCATGCGAGAGAGTAGATGTGAACTCACGTGTGTGTGTGTGTGTGTTCGTGTGTGTGTGTGTGTGTGTGTGTGTGTGTGTGTGTGTGTGTGTGTGTGTGGTGGTGCACACACACACACACACACACACACACACACACACACACACACACACACAGTGTGTGTGTGTGTGTGTGGTGGTGTGTGTGTGTGTGTGTGTGTGTGTGTGTGTGTATGTGTGTATGTGTGCATGCGTGCGTGCGTGCGTGCGTGCGTGCGTGCATGTGCTGCTTCTTTTTGGCTGTAATTGCTCGATGCTTGGTTGATATTTGTTTTTTTATGTGTGTGAATGGGCCTGTATGGTGTGTGTGTGTGGGGGGGGGGATGTATGTGTTCATGCTGTGTGAGAGTAGTCTATAATGTGTGTTGTTGTTGCCCGATATTGCAGTGTTGATGAGCGTGTATGCGTGCGTGCGCACGCACGCACGCACGCACGCACGCATACACGCTCATCAACACTGCAACAACAAAGCATGTTATAGACACTTACATATAGTACACGCACGCACGCACGCACTGTACTATATGTAAGTGTCTATAACATGCTTGGTTGTTGCAGTGTTGATGAGCGTGTATGCGTGCGTGCGTGCGTGCGTGCGTGCATGTACTATATGTAAGTGTCTATAACATGCTTTGTTGTTGCAGTGTCGCTGAGCAACCTCATGGAGACATCTACCAACGACGTTGCTAGCGTCACGCTGGCTCTACGCACGCTCGGCAGCTTCGACTTTGACGGTCAGTGCCACGGCTTCTTTCCTCTTATAGACCTTTTTTCCTCCACGTACCTCACGTGTTTTTATATCAGTATTTATAGACGGATTTTTGAGACGGACATTCGCATATTTATCAGATCTCTGCCTTCCCTTGATTTGTTGGTCACCTCGTTACGTTTGAGATTAGTGGTTTGGTGCGCGCGATCCACATTCTATTACTTCGTCACTGACATCCAAAAGCGGTGCGATAAACAAAACGTGTGATATCTCGCCGCGAACGCACATGATTTATGCGATGATTAGATGCTCTCTTGTCGCTGCAGGTCACTCGTCGACGCTGACGCAGTTTGTGCGCTACTGCGCCGAGATGTACCTGGCGAGTGAACACGAGGAGATCCGCATGGAGGCAGTGCGCACGACTTACGTGCAGCGAGGGAGAGAGCAGACGTGAGCACGTGCACACTGCAGGAGGGTCTGCTCTCTCCCTCGCTGCACGTAAGTCCCTCCTCCTACAGTGCTCACGTCTGCTCTCTCCCTCGCTGCACGTAAGTCCCTCCTGCAGACTTACGTGCAGCGAGGGAGAGAGCAGACGTGAGCACCCTCCTACAGTGTGCACGTCTGCTCTCTCCCTCGCTGCACGTAAGTCCCTCCTACAGTGCGCACGTCTGCTCTCTCCCTCGCTGCACGTAAGTCCCTCCTACAGTGCTCACGTCTGCTCTCTCCCTCGCTGCACGTAAGTCCCTCCTGCAGTGCTCACGTCTGCTCTCTCCCNTTAGCATGTGCGTTGTGCTGCATCATGGATCGTACTGTCGCTGTCGCGTGCGATGACGTGCGTGCGTGTGCACCTGTCCCTTTTTTGTGTCAGTGTATGTGTGTACGGTGTCGTGCCGTGTGCGCCGTGTGTGTGTGTGTGTGTGTAGTGTGTGTGTGTGTAGATGTGTTGCATGTCTTCTGCCGTGCTGTGTGATCATCGCCTCTGCCGGCACGTGCAGATTCACGCAGCGACGTGAGATGTGTGAACATTGATCCGTCTGCTACGCTGGGTTACTACTCTTTGCCGGACCGCGCCCATATCGACGGCTGATGAAGATTATCCGCCGACACGACGCTCTCGTCAGCATTCATCAATTGGCTGTGCACTCGTTCGTCTTAACTGTCTTCCGCCCTCGCACCTTTTTGTCTCGTACCATATCGTTAGTAAACGGTGGCTTGTTTGTCGCACCTGTGTTACTCTCACCCCTGACTTTCTTACTTTGCACTATTGTACCTTATTACACAATAGTCTATTACCTTGTAATTAGTATAATAGTGCTGCTCTGTTATACTTATTTCATCTTTGATATCCCTTCTGCGATTTATTACATGTAATTACTTTGGATTCGTCTCTCTCCATTTATCTGATGTAATCTTACAGGTTGTCCTCTTTGCCATTTGACTACACTAATACCACTCACGGCTTCTTTCTTGCGCTGGTTAATTGTATTTGTCGTTCTTGGTGTTTGCGTTCTGCAGCGCTCACCGTATCTTAAGAGCTCTGGCCATCAATGTGTGTGCCGTAACCTGCAGCATGGTGATGCCCCATCACTGTTTCATCGTTCATCCAAGCCTCCTGTACGCCTCGTTCAAGATGTTGCGTGCGTGTGTGTGCCCCCTTACTTCCTTTCCTTCCCCCCTTGCACGTGCAGTCTATTCTCTTTTCTTTTTTTTTTTTCTCACGTTCGTGCAACTCTATGCGTTTCCTCCTACCCCTTTTCGTTTTGCGTTGCGTTCCCTCACTCCCTTTCCTCCCCCTTGTTGCATCTCCTCTCTGGTCTTATGTCTGCTCTGGCGTGTCTCCATCCTCCCCTTCCGCTCCCCCCTGGTTGCGTTGCGTTGCTATCCCTCTCTCCCCATCTTTGTATCTTATCCTTGTTTGGGCGCTGTCATCCCTTCCACCCCTCCTCCCCTTCGCTCTGTTGCGTGCTCATCCTTCCTCCCTGACTCCCATCTGTGTTTTCCTCCTTCCTCTTTCCCCTGTCGGTCGTGTGCATCCCTCCTCCCTCCTCCCCCTCTGCTGGTGCGTGCATCTCCTCCCTCCTTTCCCTGTGCGGTCACTGTCATCCTTCCTTCCCCTACCTCCCCCTGTGCGGGTCTCTCCCCTGTCGTGTCGGCATCCCTTCTCCTCCTCCCCCTTTGATGCGGTTGCATCCTATCTCCCTGCTCCCCTGTGCCTCCATGCGATCTCCTCCTCCCTTGCTTTTGCAATCCCGTCCTTACCCCTCCTCCCTTGGCATGCTGCATCCTTCCTCCCTGCTCCCCTTTGCGTGATTCTTGTGCATCCCTCTCCTCCCCCTAGTGCGTCGCGTGCCATTCCTCCTCCCTCCTCTTTCCCTGTGGTCGTGCTGCATCCTTCCTCCTCCCTCGCTCCCCCTGTGCGTGCCGTGCTCCTCCTCACCCCTGCGTGCCGTGCTCCTCCTCCCTTGCATGCTTCATCCTTCCTTCCTGCTCCCTGTTGCGTTCCCTCCTCCTGCTCCTCTGGCGCTGATGCTCCTCCTCCCTCTCCCCTTGTGCGCGTGCATCTCCCTCTCCTCTTCCTTTCCTCCCTGCTCCCCTCTGTGCTGCTGTGCTCCCCACCCCTGCTCCCCTCTGTGCGTGGCATGCATCCTTCTCCCTGCTTTCCCCTGTGCGTCGTGATCCTCCACCCCTGCCCTCCCCTTGTGCTGTGCATCCCTCACCCCTGCATCCCCCCTGTGCGATGCTGCATCTTCTCCCTGCTTCCCTGCGCGTGCGTGCATCTTTCCATCCACCCCTCCTCCCGGCCTGTGCGTGGCTGATCCCTCCTCCCCTGCCTCCTCTGTTTTCGTGCGTGCATCCTTCTCTTCTCCCTGCTTCTGTTCCGTGCTGTGTATCCACCTCCTGCATCCTGCTTGTGGTCCCTATCCTTCTCCTTCTTGTGCGTGCGTTTTTTCTGCCTCCCTCGTGCATCTCCTCCTCCCTCTGTGCATGGCGGGGCATCTCCATCCCTGCCTCCCCCTGTGTGCGTGTCCTCCCTCTGCCCTCTGTGCTGCTGTGCATTTCCCCTGTGCGTGCGGGCAATTCCTCCACCCTCCTCCCTCCCTTGTGCGTGTCGTGCATTCCCTCCTCCCTGCTCCTCCCCTATAGCAGTGCCGTGCATCCCCTCCACCTCTCTCTTTTGCGTGCATCCCTCCACCCTGTCTCCCCTGAGCGTAGCGTGCATCCCTCCATCCCTGCTCCCTCTGTGCGTGCGCTGCATCCTCCTCCCGTTTTTCCCTCTGTGCGTGTGTGCATTCCTCCTCCTTTCCCCCTCGTGCGTGCTTTCCTCCCCTGTGCTGTGCGTGTGCATCCCTCCTCCTTCATGCTCCCCTGTTGCGTGCATGCATCCTCCTCCCCTCCTCCCCTGCTGCGTGCATTCTCTCCCTCCTCCCCCTTGTGCGTCCGCGTGCATCCCTCTCCACCTGCCTCCCCCTCCGTGCGTGCGTGCATCCTTCCACCCTTCCTCCTCGCGCGTCGCTCGCGCATCCTCCTCCCACTGCTCCCTGCGTATGCGTGCGTGCATCCCTCCTCCCTCCTCCCTTTTCCTCGTGCGTGCGTGCATCCCTCTCTCCCCTACCTCCTCTCTTGTGCGTGCGTGCCATCCCTCCTCCCGCTGCTCCCCTGCTGCGTGCATGCATCCTTCCTTCCCTGCTCCCCTGTGCGTGCGTGCATCCTCCCTCCCGCGCCCTTGTGCGTCGCGTGCTCCTCCTCCCCTCTCCCCCTGCGTTGCGTGCATCCCCTCCTATACTCCCTGTGCGTGCGTGCATCCCTCTCCCTCTCCCCTGCGGTGCGTGCATCCCTTCTCCATACTCCCCCTTGCGCTGCGTGGCATCCCTCCTCCCTTTTTCCTCTGCGTGCGGCATCCCTTCCTTCCATACTCCCCTGTGTTGCTCTCGTGGCGTCAATCTCCTCCCCTCCTCCCCCTGCCGTGCGTGCATCCCCTCAATACTCCCCTGTGCGTGCGTGATCCTCCTCCCCTCCTCCCTTCTTGCGTGCGGCATCCTATCCTTCCTTTTTGCCTTGCTGTGGTTTGCGGGCGGTGCATCCCTCCTCCATATTTTGCAGTTTCCGTGCATCCCTCCTCCCCATCCTCCCCTCTTGTGCGATGCGTGCATCCTCCTCCCCTCCTCTCCCTCTATAGTGCTGCGCATCCCTCCTCCCTCCTGCCCCCTGTGCGTGCGTGCATCCCTTCCTCCCCCTGCTTCCCCTGTGCATTTCATCCTCCTCCCTGCTTCCCCTGGCGTGCTGTGCATCCCTTCCTCCACTGCTCCCCGTGCGTGCATGCATCCTTCTCCCTGCTTCCCTGCTGCGGCGGCATCCCTCCTCCCCTCCTCCCCTGACTGTGCGTGTGCATCCCTCCTCCTGCCTCCCCCTGTGCGTGCGTGCATCCCTCCTCCCCTGCCTCCCCCTGTCGCTCGTTGCGTGCCATCCCTCCTCCCCTGCCTCCCTGCTGCATGTGTGCATCTCCTCCCTCCTGCATTCCCTGTGCGTCGCGTGACACCTCCTTCCCCTTTCGGTGCGTCGCGTGTTCCTCCCCTCCTCCCCTAGCGGTGCATCCCTCCTCCCTTCCTCCCCTCTATGCTTGGCATTCACCTCCATCCTCCTCCCCTGTGCGTGCATCCCTCCTCTCCTCCCCTAGTGCGTCGCGTGGCTATCCCTCCTCCCCTCCTCCCCTCGTCGCTTCCATGCGTGCATCCCTCCCCCCTTGCTCCCCTGTGTTGCATGTATCCCTCCTCCCCTTTGCCTCCCTCTGTGCCTGTGCGTGGCATCCCTCCTCCCTCCTGCCCCTCTGTGCGGTGCCGTGCATCTTCTCCCTGCCCTCCCCTTTCGTACGCGTGAATCCCTCCTCCCCTGCTTCCCCTGTGCGTGTGTGCATACCCTCCTCCCTGCCTTCCCCTGTCGTGCGTGCATCCCTCCTCCCCTTGCTCCCTGCTGTGCGTGCATCCTCCACCCCTCTACTCCCCCTGTCGTGCGTTGCGTGCATCCCTCCTCCCCTCCTCCCCCTGTGCGTGCATGATCCCACTCCTCCCCTGCTTCCTCCTGTGCGTGCGTGGCATCCCTCTCTCCTGCCTTCCACCGTGCGTGCGTGGCATCACACTCCCACCCCTCCTCCCCCTCGAGCGTGTCTGCTTCTCCTCCCTCCTTCCCCTGTGTCATTTCCGTGTGTGCATGCCCTCCACCCTCCTCCCCCTGGTGCGTTGATACGTGCACATCCCTCCTCCCTTCTTCCCCTTGCGCGTGCGCTGCATCCCCTCCACCCCTCCTTCCCCTAGTTGGCCCGCTGCGTGCATCCCTCCTTCCCCTGCGTGCGTGCATCCCTCCACCCCTCCTTCCCCTGTGCATGCGTGCATCCCTCCTCCCCTCCTCCCCCTGAGTGTGTGCGCGGGAGGGGTTAGGACTTTCTGCTGGCTAGCTGTGCACGCGATCAGACTCTCTCTTTCAGTTTAAAATGTCTCGTGGCGTAATACATTAGTTGTGTATTTTTTTTCCATGGCATAGTGGTCATTTGACATTTCTTCGTAGCCGTGAAACGGGTTCTCGCGTATTAACCGTTGCCGAGTTAGCGCGACTCTGTTTTCCGGACCTAGAGTGATTTGCTCGTCTACAGATGTTCGCTTGTCTTTTGCAGTTCTCTTCAGCAGCTGGGGGTTCTCATCTCCATTGTGAAGCAGCACATTCGCAACTATCTGGACGACATCTTTGATCTCATCAAGGTAAGCCCGGGACACCAACGCAGGCACCCAACGGTGTGACGATCCAATTGGACGTTCGTCCATATGCAACACACCTAGCTGTGATGTCCATCAGCAGTATTGCTACCAATAAATTCTTAACAAACCAAGGTAAAAGCCTTAAAGATTCTGCTGGATGACCAAATTTTCCTGCCTTATTTCTCTGAAATGCCTTTGCAAAAATGTTCATTCTTAACCCATGTTATGAATGTTTATGACAATGATATGTCAAGAATTTTGCACCTTTTAGAATGAAGTTTCGTATGAAAATCACGACAGTCTAGACTCATGACAGTCGTAACCATTTCGCAATATTTCCATGGCGACGATTCCCCAGGTGTGTGGAGCGGCGCGTGACATTACCGTTCCCCACTAATCGTTGTTCGTCGCTATCTGTTTTTTCGTTCACTGGCGAGTATCTGGATGGTGAAACAGCACGATGCCCAGAAACACGCATCTATCGCTGTCGCTGGAACAGATCCCGTGTAAGCGCTCGGCGGAGTTCAAGTCTTACATAGCCGCAGCAGTCATCCCGCACATGCTCGCCCGCATCTGTCATGCCACGACACGAGCGCCGGTGAGTCCCTCACATCCGCTCCTCATCCCCTAGCCCCGCTGCCTGTCCTCCCTTTCCTCTTCTAGCTGCCTGCCTTCCCTCCTCCCGTCCTCCGTCCCATTCCCTGTCTTCCTCCATCCCTGCCTCCTACACTGCGCAGCTCATCCCACACATGCTGTGCCATCTTCCAGTGCACCGACCACATCGGCGCGGTGAGTCCTTACTCCATCCCTCCCATCATTGTCCCCTCACTGTCTCCCTCCACTGCCTCCGATCCTGCCCTGCCTACCGACTGACACAGCTAGCCTACACATGTGATGCATCTTCATGCACGCACCTTCACCAGAGCGCGTGGAGTCCTTTAACTTCCCTCCTCTGGACTTCCTCCCTCCTTCCCTACCTGCCTCCCTCCCTGCCTCCATCCATCCCTCCCTCCACTGTCACAGCTCATCCTACACATGCTGTGCATCTTCATGCACGACACGGGCGCGGTGAGTCCTTAACTCCATCCCTCCCTCCTTCCCTACCTGCCTCCCTCCCTGCCTCCATCCATCCCTCCCTCCACTGTCACAGCTCATCCCGCACATGCTGCGCATCTTCATGCACGACACGAGCGCGGTGAGTCCCTCCCTCCCTCCCTCCCTCCCTGTCTTCCTCCCTCCCTGCCTCCATCCCTGCCTCCTACCACTGTCACAGCTCATCCCACACATGCTGTGCATCTTCATGCACGACACGAGCGCGGTGAGTCCTTAACTCCATCCCTCCCTCCTTCCCTACCTGCCTCCCTCCCTGCCTCCATTCCTGCCTCCTACCACTGTCACAGCTCATCCTACACATGCTGTGCATCTTCATGCATGACACGAGCGCGGTGAGTCCTTAACTCCCTTCCTCCTTCTCCGCTGTTCCTCCCTCAATCCCGTGCACCCTCAGCCGAAGGATCATTCGACTGCCCCTCCATTCCTCACAGCAAATACAGCGTAATAAGAATATATATCTATATAATAAGTATATATAATGAACGATAATGAGCATATAATAACAATAAGAACGACTATACGACGAGCATCGCACGTTGCCCCCATGCCCTCGTGACGTGAGCGCGCGGTGACGCGTCGTGTTGTTTCGTGTTTTCGCAGGAGTGCGCGGTGACGCATCGTGTTGTTTCGTGTTTTCGCAGGAGCTCGCCGTGACGAAGCGTCTGCTGGGAGCGCTGCAGCTGTTCGGCTCCAACCTCGACGACTCGCTGCACCTCCTGCTGCCTCCCGTCGTCAAGCTGTTCGACACGGCAGACGCCCCGATCAAGGTCAGGAGGTGAGTGTTCCACGGGTTGCCACGGCAACGGACGACTCTGCCGGACGACGTTCGCTGGGGACGAGTTATCTCGTCATGTTCTGCTGTTTGGTTCTCATCGCGCGGCCATGCGTTCATGAAGTCATATTGGACGTTTCTCGTCGCTTCGCATAGTGGGCGGAGTCGTTTCAAGTTTTGACGACAGGCTTGAAATCTTAGATCGAGATCAGGTGGTTGTTGTTGTTGTTGTTGTTGTTGTTGTTGTTGTTGTTGTCATTGCTTCCCTCGTTACCATTTACATCGTGCTCTTCCCTTTGCGCTATCCCCCCCCCTTCGTCGTTCTCGCGTGCGCGACTCAGCTTCCGTTGTCGCCGCCACCAGGGCGGCGCTGGAGACGATCGACCGGCTGACGGACTCGCTCAACTTCAGCGACTACGCGTCGTGCATCGTGCACCCGCTCGCGCACACGATCGACACGACGCCCGAGCTGCGAGCGAGCGCGATGGACACCCTGTCCGCGCTCGTGCTGCAGCTGGGCAAGAAGTACGAGATCTTCATACCGATGGTGAACAAGGTGCTGGTGAAGCACCGCGTGCAGCACACGCGCTACGACGTGCTCATGTGCCGCATCATCAAGGTACGTGTGCGTGAGGGGGGTACGTGCGTGCGTGACTGGATCCGTACAAACACAAGCTCAACCTGGGTCTCATCGAGAAGTCCGAGTCCAAGGCCGTGCTGAGCATGTCCGAGAGCCGCAACTCCGACACCGGTACGTCGCCGCCGTTCCCCGCCGCGAAATAAGCGAACGGCACGTCGCTTTTTCTGACGACGGTCTACGAGAAATGTTGTTGTTAGGACTAATGCTAAGATTAATGTCAGCACTAATTTTGTTTCTGACAATGATTTATGAGAAAAAATTTAATGTTAAGACTAATGTCAGGACTAATTCCGTCTCGGACGTCGGGCCAGTGGACTGCGCTTTGAGTGTCGTACATCCGACTCACTGATCCATGCCTTTGAGCCGTCGGTTTAGCGATGTAACAAAGGCACTTGCTGGGAGATGTGTGCGTGGGTGCGTGCATGTGCACGTGCGTGCGTGCGTGTGCGTGCGTGCGCGTGTGAGTGTGCGTGTGCATGTGCGTGCGCGTGTGAGTGTGCGTGTGCATGTGCGTGCGTGTGTGCATGCGATCGTACGTGCGTGCGTGCGTGCGTGCGTGCGTGTGTGTGTGTGTGTGTGTGCGTGCGTGCGTGCGTGTGCGCCTGTGTGTGTGTGTGTGTGTGTGTGCGTGCGTGCGTGCGTGCATGCGTGCGTGCGTGTGTTCATCGCCTCGGCCTGCACGTTGCAGATTCGACGACGAGTGAGATGCTGGTGAACATGTCGTCGACGGCAACGCTAGAGGACTACTTCCCGGCCGTCGCCATATCGACGCTGATGAAGATCATCCGCGACACGACGCTCTCGCAGCATCACAACATGGTCGTACAGGTGCGTGCACTCGTCATCGTTAACCTGTCGTTACCGCACCTGTCATTACCTATCGTTACGTTACACGGTGGTGTGCTTTATGTCGCACCTGTCGTTACCTCACCTGTCCTTACCTATCGTTACGTTACACGGTGGTGCTTTATGTCGCACCTGTCGTTACCTCACCTGTCATTACCATACCTGTTCTTACATAGTGGCACTATTGTACCTGTTATTACACAATAGTCACTTTTAATTGTACCTGTAATTATATAATAGTGCTGCTCGTTGATACCAATTCTAATTTCATCTTGATATCCCCTTCCTGCGATTTATTACATGTAAACTTAGGGATTCGTCCTCTCTGCCATTTATTATATGTAAATCTACAGGTTTGTATGCCATTCATGTCATTTATTACATAATACACTCACGGGATCGTTCTTGCGCTGGGTAATGTATTATCGTCTGCTTGTCATTGAGTGTTTGCGTTCGTTTTGCAGGCGATCACGTTCATCTTCAAGAGCCTGGGCATCAAGTGTGTGCCGTACCTGCAGCAGGTGATGCCGTCACTGATCATCGTCATCCGAAGCTCCGACGCCTCATTCAAGGAGGTGCGTGCATGCGTTCCCCCTACTCCCTCCTCCCTCTGTGCGTGTGTGCATCCCTCCTCCTCTGCTCCCCCTGTGCGTGCGTTCCCCCTACTCCCTCCTCCCTCTGTGCGTGCGTGCATCCCTCCTCCCTACTCCCCCTGTGCGTGCGTTCCCCCTACTCCCTCCTCCTCCTGTGCGTGATGAATCAATGTGGCAAGATAGGTGACAAGATAAGTGACAAGGTGTGATGCAATCTTGGCAAGATAAGTGACAAGGTGAATCAATGTGACAAGATAAGTGACAAGGTGAATAAATGTGGCAAGATAGGTGACAAGGTGTGATGCAATGTGGCAAGATAGGTGACAAGTTGAATCAATGTGACAAGGTAGGTGACAAGTTGAATCAATGTGACAAGGTAGGTGACAACATGAATGTAGCACTGTGACAATGTAGGTAACACATTATATAACATTGTGACAAGATAGGTGACTAGGTGAATGAGTCCTGATGTTAAATATAATCAGGTCAGAAATCCCGAGAGTGTTCAAATGTCGTTATAAGTACATAATCGTCGTATGTTTCAGGGCCCCCTTCCACTCGGTACCTCCCTGCTCGGCGAGAGAGCCATGCATTGCCGCGCGTACGCCAAGGCACTGCATTACAAGGAGGAGGAGTTCCACACCGGTCCCAACACTCAGATCCTCGAATCACTGATAAGGTACTAAGCCTAACGTCACCTAACGTCTGTCTGTCATCGTGCTTACTGTGCATTACGTCACTGCATCCATAATCCTGCCTTTTGTTAGTAACGAGGAACAGAAATGCTATATTTGGGGGCCCTGTTTTCAGATACGTCGTGAATAGGTGTGACTATTGTAAGGGTAAAATGCCGTAACTGTTGCGTTGACGCTTCACTATAAGTGTCATGAGATTTTTAAACTTACAATCTCACAACTACTTGGTATCTTTCCAACAACGGGAGGGGGAATTGACAGAAACAGGGTAGAGTTTCTCGCAGGCAGCAAATGTAAAGGTCGGGTCTACGAGAAAAAGTTAACATTAAGATTAGGACTGGCGTGTTCTAAAAATTGTAACAAATCGGAAATTCGTGTCTGACGATGGCAGGTCACCCGTGGGCGCGTGCGGGGAGCGTAGGGGAGACAGGTGATCGTGAGGTGATGCCTCTGTTGTTGTCTTTGTTAACGTCTGCTGTCTGTTGCAGCATCAACAAGAAACTGCAGCTGCCGGAGGCGGCGGCCGGCGTGCTGGAATACGCGATGAAGAACCACCGCGCCGAGCTCACCGTGAAGGAATCCTGGTAGGCCACCCCCTTCTCCCTCCACACATACATACACACCACTCCTCCCTCCACACACACACATACACACACACACACACACACACACCCCCCTCCCTCCACACACATACACCCTCCCTCCTCCCTCCACACACACACACACACACACACACACACACACACACACACCTCCCTCCAAACACATACACACCCCCACCTCCCTGCACACACATACACACACCCGGCACTCGCGCGCGCACGTGTGGCCATTTACCTTTGTTCAGCATCCCATGCACGCGAGAACGCCGCCTGACGGTCGCTAGCGCTATACTGAACTCGTATTCGATGAATCAAGTCGTCTGCTTTGTCTTGAATGCTGTTTATAATATATATATAATTTGTTAATATAACTACGAGATATTCAAGATTGACAGGTTTATTTTGACATTTGAAAATAGGAAACAGAAGTCAGGAAATGGGCACGCACATGTGCTCTGTGTCGTGCTACCGTGCAGCTACTAGTGTTACTGTCTGCAGTATTGGTTTCACGAAACAAGATTGGTTTCAAAGAATCGCGAATATACATCTCGTTGATACTGTGTTCTGCGTATCAACCTCTTGTTGGATCCCATTGCTGTCATTGCTCGTTGTCACTTATTATATTGTATTTATTTCGATTTTAATCGAACAGGCGCTGATTCCGAAGCTGAAAGATCCAGATCCGAACACGGCCGTTGTCATCAGTGTGCTGGCGGCTGTGGGAGAGCTAGCTCAGGTATGTACACACCTAGCATAGGTGAGGGGGAGGGATGTCACGGCCTTAACTAGCCACAAGCGTCACGTTTTACAAGCATAACTTATGCACGACACTTTGTTTAAAAAAGTCAACATTCTATACTTATGATAGTAGTAGCTACTCATGCCACTAATGACAACATGAATCCTGGCCTCACTTTGGTCATGTTCCCCCGCCCCACTCCATTTCCTGATTGAGAGGCTAATAATTAACTCGAATAATTATGTGTGTAATCATAATTTGTTATATATACATATATGATTATTCTTCTCCCATTTATTTCCTGACTGAGAAGCTAATATTGAACTGGATTCATTACGGTGTAATCATAATTTATCAGAGTATATATAATAATTGGTTGCAATTAACGTTACACATAACTGTCGTTACGCCGTGGTTGCCGCGCGACCCTGACGTCGTCGTGGTTGCCGCGTGACCCTGACGTCGTCGTGTTGGCTTCGCGCAGGTGAGCGGCATCGAGATGAGGAAGTGGATGGATGAGCTGCTGCCCATCATCATAGAGATGCTGCAGGACTCGTCGTCGAGTCAGCGTCGCGAGGTGAGCGCCCCCTGGCTGCGGCGCGTGGCGTGCCGACAAACGCTCGTCCGTACGCTAGAGTGCTGGTATCACGGCAATGATGTTCCAAATGCTAGCTAAATGATGCTGAAAATTTGTTTTTGACGATTTTGTGTAATTAGTTCTTATTCTAATCTTCAAATTCCCAACGCTCTCAAAACCGATTCTTACGTTACGACGATTTTTTAAGTCTTAATGATCTGAGACGTACAAGATACCCTCCCTTTGAACAGAACTTTACAGAAAACCAAACTAAATGGACAGTCCGGAAGCTGGTCGGTATTGGAAGAGTTCGATGTATAAATGAAACAAATTAATGTTCTTTTTTTAAACAAATTTCTATCAATATCAAGTAAAAAAATTAAGTAAAAGTTAAGTGATATTTCCGGTGACTCCCTACAGGTGGCGCTGTGGACGCTCGGTCAGCTGGTGGAGAGCACGGGCTACGTCGTCGAGCCTTATAAGAAGTATCCGACGCTGCTGGAGGTGCTTCTCAGCTTCCTGAAGACCGAGCAATCGATCAGCATCCGCAGAGAGGTGCGTTCATCCTCGTTTCTCATTTCTCGTTTGGTGACCGCAAAGGAGAATTTCGTGTCTGTATGCAGCTTCCTCTTGTAACTACTGATTGTAACAGGAAGAATTATGAAGTGTGTGTCTGTGCGTGTGCGTGCGTGCGTGCGTGCGTGCGTGCGTGCGTGCGTGCGTGCGTGCGTACGTGTGTAAATAAATAATAATAATAAATAATCACGGTGTCGCTGCCGGTGTTGCCGTCGTTTGAGTTTTGTTTTTGTTGCTGGTGCTGCCGCCATTGTCGGGGTGTTGCTGCCGATACTGATGTTGCCATCATTGGGGTGTTGTTGCCGTTGCTGATGTTGTTGTCGTCGGCGGCGGCTGTTGTTGCCGTTGCTGATGTTGCCGTCGTGTGGCTGTTGTTGCTGTTTCTGATGTTGCCGTTGTGCGGCTGTTGTTGCCGTTGCTGATGTTGCCACCATCATCGGGGTGTTGTTGCCGTTGCTGATGTTGTTGTCGTGTGGCTGTTGTTGTCGTCGGCGGCGGCTGTTGTTGCCGTTGCTGATGTTGCCACCCTCATCGGGGTGTTGTTGCTGTTGCTGGTGCTGCCGTCGTGCGGCTGTTGTTGCTGTTGCTGATGTTGCCGTCGTGTGGCTGTTGTTGCTGTTGCTGATGTTGTCGTCGTGGGCCTGTCGTTGCAGGTGATTCGGGTGCTGGGGCTGATGGGAGCGCTGGATCCGTACAAACACAAGCTCAACCTGGGTCTCATCGAGAAGTCCGAGTCCAAGGCCGTGCTGAGCATGTCCGAGTCGGGCGAGAGCCGCAACTCAGACACGGCGGTACGTCGGCCAGCGCGAGTTAACGGCCGAGCCGGCAAATAAGCAGAACGGCACGTCGCTTTTTTCTGACGACAGTCTAACCAGAAATGTTTGTGTTAGGACTATGGCTAAGACTATGTCAGCAGCTAAATTTTGTTTCTGAGCATGATTATGAGTAAAAAGTTTATGTAAGACATGAATGTCAGGACTATCTCGGACACGTCGGGCCAGTGGACTGCGCTTTGAGGTCGTACATCCAGACTCACGTGATCCTATGCCGGCTTGAGGCCGTCGGTTTATGTCGAGATGAGTAACAAGAGGCACTTGTCTGAGGCAGATGTGTGCGTGGGTGCGTGCTGTGGCACGTGAAGCGTGCGTGCGTGCGTGGCGGTGCGGCTGCGTGCGATGCGTGGTCGTAGCGATGAGTGGTGCGTGCGACGACAGTGTGAGCGTGGTGCATAGTAGCGTGCGTGTGATTGCATGCGCGATCGTACGTGGCGTGCGTGGACCGTGGAGGCGTGCGTGTGGCACGGCTGTGTGTGTGTGTGTGTGTATGCTGTGTGCGTGCGTGTGCGCTGTATGTGTTGTGTAGTGTGTGTGTGTGTGTGTGGATTGTAAAAAGGCCTGTGGCATGCAACTAGCCGTGCGTACGTGTGTTTCATACGCCATCGGCGGCGCAGTCGTTTGGCAGATTCGACGACGAGTGAGAATGGCTGTGAAGCATGTCGTGCGACGCAGAGCGGCATGGAGGAAGCTACTTCAGCGCGGCCGTCGCCAATATGCGAGCGCTGATGAGATTATCGCAGACACGATCGCTGCTCGGAGAGCAGCAGCAAACAATGGTCGTCACATGTGGTAGGGCAGCTCGTCGTCGTTAACGGCTGTCGTTAACCGCACTGTCCTTTACCTATCGTTACGTTAAAACGGTGGGCTTTATGTCGCAGCTGTGCGTTACCTGCAACTGACTGCTTACATAGTGAACCTATTGACCTGTTATTAACACAAAGTCATTTTAAATTTTACGCTGTAAATTTATATAGATAGTGCTGGCTCGTTGATAGCGCATTTCTAATTTCAATCTAGATATCCGCCTCACTGCGATTATTACATAGTATAAGCTTTGGATCGTCGCTCTCTGCATTTATTGTATGTAAATCGGCTAGCGAAGGTTTGTGCGGCTGCTTTGCCATTTATTACACAATACAGCATCACGGGATTCGTTCCTGCGCTGGGTAATGTTAACACACGTTGTCGTCCTGCTTGTCATTGAGATGTTTGCGTTCGTATTGCAGGCAGATGCAGCAAGTTCATGGCTTTACAGCCTGGCATCAGTGTGTGGCGTACACATGCAGGACAGGTGGATGGCCACTGATCATCGTCATCAAAGAAGCTCGAACGACTCTGTTCAAGGAGAGTGACGTGCGTGCGTTGCCCCTACTCGCCTGCTCCCACATGTGCGTGCGTTGCCCCTAGCTCCAGTCCTCCGCCCTGTGGCAGATGCGTTCTACCACTGCCCGCTAGATAAACCACGCCTGGTGAAGAAGCGGCAAATCAGATAGAATAAGAAATAGCGGAAATAGGAAGGAAGGACATCCCCCTGTGCGTGCGTGCATACCCTCCTCCGCTCCTCCAACCTGTTGCGTGCGTGGCATGCCTTCCTCGCGGTCCTCCCAGCTGATGGTCAGTGGCGTTACCCGACCTACATCACCTGTCATTTCGCACATGTGCGTGTGTGGCATGCCTCCTGCCCTCCATAACCCTTGCGTGAGGCGGGCGGGATTGGGGGAGGGGGAGGGATGCGTGGCATCGGCGCATCCAATCCCCTGGGTCGATGCGTGCATCCACTTCCAGCCGACCACCTCCAAGGAGGGAAGACCTTGCGGTGGGCGGAGAACTGCCTTGTCTCCACAATGCCTCCTTCTGTGCGTGCGTGCATGCCCTCTCTTCCCTGAATGTAAATAATATTATTTAATTATTATATTGTGATTGTGTTACATTCAGCCTGTGCGTGTGTGCATCCTACCTGCCCTCTACCGCACTGTCGTGCGTTGCATTCCTCCATCCTACATAT